ATAAGTTTATAAGTATATAATACTGGTTTGGTCATCTATATATATATATATACTCATAAATGTAAAAGTATATAATACCTGGTTTGGTCATCCGGAAGACCCCCAATATTTGCTCTGGAAGCTCCGATTCGTCGCGTCCCTCTATCATGATAGCCATATCAAATGTGAGGGTGGAAGCTTTGCCCACACACAAGTCCGCAAGACTGCTCGCAATCTATACGAGGCAGACGGTAGTATAGTGTTCGTAATGAGTAAACCATGAGATAGTTGTCACAATAAGAAGGTCGCTGTCAATAGATACAGATGAGCCATTAGAGCAATCAGAGCGCGCAACTAAACTCCGTCGGACTACGCCTCCAAAGTGTGAATAGGGCACAACTGGCGTATACATAGGGCGTGATGTTGTGCAGCTTGCTATCTGGACTGGGAAACTTAACCAGATAGGCATGCGTTACCTTTGAGCTCGTTGTGTCACAGCTGATCTCGAAGAAGCGATCGGTCTTCCGATAGCTGTGACGAGGTGTAAGAGCCACGATGACAATTAAATTGTGTGCAACGCTAGGTAAACCGGTGAGAAATCACACTAGATCATGCGAATCCCAACCATACCTGGAAGGCTCAAACCGTAATTAATCTCAGCTATCAATGTAGTAGCTCATTCACAATTGCATGACAAACTAACGCCGCTGAGTAATTGAGTGAGTCAAGGATAGTCGCCAAGCGCGCGAAAGTGCCTCACAAATACTAATCCAGTGTTGTTATAATCTGGATCTATTTAGGTGAGCAAGTCCTACAATATGCAATCGGCTCCATGTAAACAAGCACATCTCTAATATCTCGAAGCAAGGTGTATGTGAGCACTGACATTTCAGATACACTGATAAAATGAGAATAGAGATGGTCCAGCCAAGGTACGTACTAGTGTGTTAGCTTCGTGGCGTACAAGACCGGTTTCGAGGTGCCGCAGGCCTTCATGACGAGCCAATTGCCCTCTATGACGCGCGGGATGACTTTAAATCGAGAATTTCTGTAGCTATCGTCACCATTCAGAAACTTCTCCCACAACGCGATACTCTCTGGTGCCATTTTCTCCAATCTGTGCCAAATTGTATTGTGCACAGTATAAGCGGATTAAATATGTATATGTATATGTATATTACTATGTATATGTATAAGTATATGTTTATGTATAAGTATAAGTATAAGTATCAGTATATGTATATGTATATGTATATGTATATGTATATGTATATGTATATGTATATGTATATGTATATGTATATGTATATGTATATGTATATGTGTGTGTGTGTACGTGTGTGTGTACGTGTGTGTACATATATATGTATATGTATATGTATTTGTATTTGTATTTGTATTTTTATATGTATGTGGGTAAATATATATCGATATATATACGTATGTGTGTGCATGTATATGTATATTTATATGTATGTATATGTATATGTATATGTATATATATATATATGTATGTGCATATGTATATGAATAGGTAAATATATACATATATATATA